AAAAAAAAAAAAGAAAAAAGAATGCATTGACCTATTTCACTTTAGTTTTGTGTATTTCACTGTACATAAATTGTATTTCAATAAAATGCATTTAAAAAAAAAGTAAATTTTGCTTTGTCCTCATATATTCTTTATTCCATGGTAAGATTAATTATGTTCCTATTTTCAAAATACTCGCAAATGATTTCCATTAAATTAATTCACTTGGTGAAGAAATGTATGCAGCCATGCACTGGAAATTCAGCTGAAAAACGCAAAAAGAGCAGTTTCATTAAAATATATTTTAAATGAATAATTGTCAATTACTAAAGAGCAACTGTTTAATAACTAAAGTATCTAAATAGGACTTTAAAGATTAAAATAAAGGAACATGTAGGTTAAAATAAAAGTATGTTTTATAGTTTCTTTCTATCTTCAAGAAAGGCCATAACGCAAACCTGCAGTCTATCTTGACATCACAACTTTTTTGGCATCTCACCATCCTCCAATACACACACACACCAATAGTTAATCACTAATTCTGGAATTGTTTCCTTGTTATTTTTCCTTCCATTCTTACCAACAATTCCACAATCCATGTCTTTAATATAAAAGGCCCTTCTATTTCAAACTCCACTTCTAACCTATTTATAATCAATGACTCTCATTAGCAGTTTCTATTCTAGTCAAATTCAATGCCTCTTAAACATTCCTCATACCCTTCCGCCTCTGTATATACTAAACTAAACTCACTGCTGTCAAATCGAATCTGACTCATAGTGACCCCTCCCTGGGTTTCTGAGGCAGTGTCTCTACAGAAGTAGATTGCCCAGTCTTCCTTCCAAGGAGTGGCTGGTGGGTTTGAACTGCCAGCCTCTGGTTAGCAATCAAATGCCTTAGACACTACGCCACCAGAGTTCCCTCTGTGTATGTATGATCACATAAATCTCCATAAATTCTTCTCTACTTTTAAGGTCTAGCCCTAGTTTCAATTCCTTTATGGAATCTATAGATTTCCTCAGCTCAGTGGGATCTTTTTAAAAATTATATGGCATCTCTGACTTCTGACTGATTAGCTTACAACTATGCTGAGTAATTTTGAGTAATTTGCCATTATGTGTGTATTTGTGTATGTGTGTGTATACATTTATTTATATGTGTGTGTGTGTGTGTGTGTATATATATGTGTGTGTATATTTTAAACTTCCTAATCAGATTATAAGGAGCTCTGGTAGCATAGTGGCTAAGGCACTTGACTGCTCACCAGAAGGCTGGCGGTTCAAACCCACCAGCCACTCCTC